TGTGCCTATAACGTCACGCGGAAAGCCAATGCAATGGAAAGCAGTCAAACAGTGGTCTGCAATTCCAAAATGTTCCAAATGTAAAGTAGCAAATTTACTAAGAAGAGTTTACATTTGTATTCCATGCGTAAATCCACAACTTGAGCTTAATTAATTTAAGCACTCCAAATGCGGTAAGATCAACGATTGTTACGCTTTGGCAGCCATTTTTGCCCGCAAAGCTTGCCATCACACCGCAACGTCATTCCAACTAAGGTATTGAAAATGAAATTCCACACATTTTTTGTTTCCTTCAAGTTAGGCCAAAAAACATTGCCAAATCGCTACTGGGAAAGAACGTAAAAAATGATTCCCCTTCTGAAGGCAAACCCGCATTGGCGCTTTTTCCCCTCATTTATTCCTATAATGCATCTGCTTCGTCCCACAAAATCACATTTATGACAAAACGAGAGCTCCACTCCTCGGGCGAATTCACTTAATTTCGTACAGGTACCACCGACCGCTTCAAGGCCAGCAAAATGAGGCATTTGGGCGCGACCGGCGAAGCGCAAGGCGAGTGATTTATGGTGGTTAATTTAAAGCGATGAGTGGCATTTTTACGACGCTGAACATGGAGCGCGCCGGCACCCTTGCATTACCACCCAAGTCGATTTGTACATTGCAAAAAATTATTAATAAAATCAGTACGCTAAAAACTAACAACAAATCCGTGTTTCTTTCAAGGTTCAGCAAGCAATATAAATTTTAGTTGAAAACAATAAAAAAATTTAAAAAATTCGCTTATTTGTTAAAGTAAATCTAAACATAGGGGAGGGTGCCTTATATGTTCTAAGTAGTAGCTTCTGCTAAATTTGGAAATATTGATTTAGACGGAATGAAGGAGCGAGAATACCTTGCTTTAACTGCCAGCACTCTGGCATCGTACTTTTCACCAACTTTATGTTCATTTGACTTTAATTGCAGCAATCTCACTTGATCGGAGAGAGCTTGAATTGACGCGAGCACCTGCTTTTGTGCTGTAATTTTGCCACGAATGTGTTCACTTGTAGGCTAGAAATGAAATAAATATGTAAATAAATGCATATTTAGAGGTCAGAAGGTGGTAGTGACGTACCAGGTAGTCAGTTTGAACGATTTGATTCTCCTTTCGACTGAGCGAGACATTCAACGCCTCCACATCACGGAGGAGGATCTGAGTTGTATTTTTCCAAAAAAAAACAAAAAACAAACCGACAAAGTGACAGCCAGCTAGTATTATTAGATAGCAGGCTCAATGTTTTGTAAAAAATTCGCTTTTTGTCCACACTGGCTAAAATTTGTTCTGCAAGGGATGTTTAATTTTGTCGAAGAACCTAAGAGCTTGGAACTATTGTCCTTTTTACTGTTTAGTGCTGAAACGATCTACAGAAGGTAAGAGCATAAAAAGGTGATAAAAATTAATCGCTTTACAACATAAAGTGTATCGTTCTTACCTATCTAAAAATAATTGCATCGTAATGTTTTTCCTTTTAGCTCAGAAAACGTTTTCTACAGCAGCTGTTGTGTCCTTATTTTGTGGACTTGTTTAAAAATGATGGTAACAGAGTTGATCTAGATGGAGAGTTTTAAGTCAACGAAAGGGCAATGTTGTGAATATTTTTTTTCAAAATAAGTTAATGTGCTGTTAAATTCTACTTTAATGTTCCGTTGTTGGGTCAGATGGACCAGTTGGTGTTTGCACAGGATGAGCAGATCCGACCATTCACATTTGAGATTGTTAAGCCTCTCCGTCACTGCTGTGGCTACAGCCTTCTCCTGAAATGCAGCCAAGTCCCTCCCATACAGTACTAAGGTCTCTAATTTATCATTTGAAGCCTCCAACTCCGCGGCGAGGGTTCGAAAAACCTCCTCCTGTTCACTAATTTCATCAATTGACGTGGGCAGCTCCAAGGAGGTGATTGTGTTTTGTTTGCTCAACAGCGTCGTGTACATCACCTCCAATTCCTTAAAAATAAGGTTAACAAAAAAATGCTAAGATGAGAAAAAAAAGCTCAAAAAGTAAGTTGATAGTGCCCATTCGTACCTGAAGCATGCTTTGGAAGGCCAGTGAACTCTCCAACCGCTTTTGATACTCCTCGAGAAGACCAACAAACTCGTTCCAGTCGGCATGTAATTGTGACTTCCATTGTTTGAGAGTAAATTCTGCGTCTCGTACAGCTACTGTGCTCCATGACTCCGCACTCAAGGGGGACTGAAGTTCCTTCAACCCTGTGCTCAACGCATCCATCTTCTTGAACACCTGACATACACGTTCCTTGAGGGCAGTCAGGTCAGTCTCCCAACCGTCCATTCGACATTCCATGCGAATCATCTCCCCCATTGTATTTTTCTTTTCACCAATTGAAAGAAGCAACTCCTTCTTGTGTTTCACCCACTCTCGAGTGTTGGAGACCTCTGCGTTAAGCGTCAAAAGACGTTTTGCTGTGTCCACAGATAGACGCTTCATTTTGGCTTTGGTAATAAGTTCATTCCAGGCGTTGAGAGTGTACTCAAGCAGAGTACTCCATGCTGCATTGTTGGCTGCCAGAACTTCAAATTCTTGAAGGATATGAAGAGATTCTTCTGTGTGGAATTTAATTTCCTTCTCCAATACAACAAGGAAAGGTTCAATCATTGCCAAGGGTTGAGATGCGGTGTGAATTTTTGCAAACAAGTCCAGAAATGGGGATTTAGTTTCCAAAAGGCACTTTTCACTGGAAAAAGGACAAAATTACTATAATAAAATAGTGTACGAGGTGTAGCTACTTAAATGGATTTTAAGTAGCTTCGGGTTAATCTACGGAATGGCATTGATTATGACGGTTCATTTGGTTCGTGAAAACGCAGGCTAATCTCATGAAGCATTAATAATAAGAGAAGAAAAATATCTGCCACAAAAGTGGCCTAAATTTGGTGGTCTCTAGAAAGCATTTTTCCTTCCCCCTTTCGGTTTTATAGGACGAGAAAATCCAAATGTCTACCTTCAACTCCCTTAGATCCACTAATCAAGAATTTTTGAGTTGCCACATTCTAATTGGATTATTTGTTAGAGTTAATATGGGTGCAATGTCTTTATCCTCCTCCTTTCCATAGGAGAAATGAACTTGGGCCTGTGGGAAGTGCCTCACCTTCTGCGTATCCACTGCAACATCTCAAAACTCCTCTCAATATCGCGAATTTTTATCTGCTCCACAAGAAGTTGTTCATATCGTTTACTCGCCTCTTGATTAATCTCATCTAAACATTGTAAGAGCTCAGCCAAGCTCACACGTATGGTGGCCTGTGTGTGGGCTCTTATGCGGTGCAGCATGGAAACACTGCCAGCACCAAATTGTTCATCCAATTTAGCCAAATCGGTAGGTTGAAAGGGTTGTTCGGCGTCTTCCAACACTCTTCGCAACTCCAAAATCTTTGCAAGGATCTGTAAGTAGTCAAAATTTGTCAGATTGTTTTTTAAACAACGATTTAAAAATTTAAATCAAACATTGTGCTCTCTGACCCTGGGAGGGGAAGAGAGAGAGAAGAGGAAGAGTAAAACCAAATAACGACAGCAAAACATCCTTGCTGGAGGACGTTTCTTGCTATCGTCTGCTCTTCACCCGCACGAGAGGCAACATACCGTCTGTTTTCTCCGGATTCTTGATTGTATGTGTAGGTGTTTGTGGAGCACAGCATTCCCTTGAAGGAGACCCTCCCACCAATCATCGTTTGAGCCATCAACACCATTCAGCAGTTCCGTCAATACATCTGGAATGGGATGATCCCTGAAGTAGGCGAGTTCGTGATTATACCATCCAACTATGGCACTGACTTCATGCTGAATCCTCGGCACTGAGGCGAGGAGATTTACCACTCCCTTTAAGGCGGTCAATTCGTGATGCAACGTCTTCATCTCCACACTCAGTCGTGTCTGTTTACTCGCCACTTCGACTGTCTGTTGGGTTAATTTGTGTTGGAGATTTGTCTTCAACTCCCGAATGACATTCTGACCGAGGAGGTGACAAAACTGAAAGCCTTGATGTACCCTAATTACAATCGCATTTCTTTGCCACCGCGAGAAACCGTCCCTCCCCACTGGACATTCCATTTTATCCTCGAGACTTTTTACTCGTCTAAGTGGTAATGATTTGGACAACTGCAATGCCTCTTGAGAAGGTGAAATTTGTTGGCAGACATTTTGTGACAGACATGTAGCAGTGTCATCAATGGATTGACTACTTTCAACCTCTTGACAATCAATCTCACGATTGATGAGTCGCACTTTGCCTTGAATGGAGACAAGAGTTTCAAAAAATTCGTTTGTAAACCCACAACTCGACGTCTGTTCTATCACCTCGGCGAGGTGACGAATCCTCTCCCTTTGATTCTACAATTTGAAACAAAAAGCTGTCTTTTCTCCCT